GGGATGTCAAATCAAACAATAGCTTTTTACTGTGCGCTTGAACCCAGTGCACCGCAAGCGTGTTTGTGAGAAACTCCATCATAAAATGGGATATGAATGGAAAAAACTAAGAGAGCGAGCACGGTTTCAACTGATGTCTTCCAGTTGTGTGACCTCTCTTTCCTTCTGCTTCTTTTTTTCTGTCTCCCTGCCTCTCTTGGTTTAATAAGGCCAGCTGTAGAGTCTGGCTCTCTTGGGAAACACAGCAGAGTGTGGCTGGCGCTGAGGCTGAATGAGGCTGAAATTGGGGCTAGGGGTGGTGGTGGGGTGTGCAAGTTGGGGGGCGAGCACTTCCGACCATTTTCCCCATGCAATACAGCGTGCAGTCTGGAGCGCTGGCAGCCGGCCACCAGCTCTCCCCGCTTCGTCTTCTCTGCTCACCCTCCTTTATTTCCTTCTTTTCGCTCCCACTTTTCTTCCTCGCCCCGCTTTCCAGCTTCCCTCCTTTTTTCCTATTCTTCTTCCTGTTGTCGTTCTTTCTGGTGCTCCCTGATGTGGAAACCAGACAATTACTTTGGTGGGGACCCACTTTGAAAGTCTGCACGGTGGCACTGTAGCGAGTCCAGGAACCCTCCTCCGTTACCTTCCTCCACTTTCACGAAAGCTTTTTAAATAAAAGGAAAAACAGGAAAAAAACATCCAAGGCCTACGAAAAAATAACACTGCTGCATGGAGTTTGTCTCCCCTGTTAGACGACTGTGCTCTGGTACCGGTACAGGTCCAAACCTGCTTCCGAGTTTTGACAGGTCCCTGACCCGTGCCAGTGGGGTTCAGCTGGGCTGGGACTGTGAGTGTATCTGTCTGTGTTTGTCTTGTGTGTGTGTGTGTGTGTGTGTGTGTGTGTGTGTGTGTGTGTGCGTGCGCGTGTTGGTGAGACTGAGATTGGGTCCAGTTAAGTTTTTGGGTGTTTTTCATCAGACTAATGAATAATACGTCTGAGCTGAGAAAACAGTATCGAGCAAAAAGTAGAAGAGGAGGGGAAAGCATGGGGGAGGAGACGGGAGGGGTAATGACTATCAGATGGTGTTCTACTACTGTGTTGCTGCCACCACTTCTGCTGCTGCATTTTTAAAGGAGAAAAACCACTTAGTTTCAAAATTCATATACTGTGTGTAATCTTTTTTTTTTCTTGAACTTTGCAATAAGCATCATGAAAGGGATGAAAGGGAGCCGAATGAGAAGAAAGAGATCTGACAGTGTGGTCACACGGGAAGGGAGTTGCTCATAAAGCCATGACTGCTACACCGTGCAGTTCTTTTCACATGATTGCACACTTGTAAACAAATAAAACTTTATTATTTTCCAAAAAGGAGAAATTGTTTTGGACTATCGAGCATCAAACCTGTTTTTTGTCATCAGTCGTTGAAGGAAATTCTATTGACTGACTGGTGTCTCAGACTTCTGCATTATGGTTTCAGTTGGAAAGACCCTATTTAAAATAAATAAATCAGAATAATTTGGAAGCATTCCAAATTGCCCCTAGTAGTGACTGTGAGTTTCTAAGGTTGTGTGTCTCTGTGTGGCCCTGTGATGGACTGCCAACTGTCAAGGGTGTCCCTCCGCCTTTGCCCATTATAAACTAGGATAGGCTCCAGGCCCCCCGTTGGTCATTTTATCTCAGTCTTCGTTTTTTTTTTTACTGTCTTAAATTTTTGGTGTCATGGCTTGCTTACCCATTTTGTTGCATTTTGTGAATAATTCTGGTTTAGTGTTCCCTCAACCTCCTGTCTCTTCCAAGTCTGCTTTTTTTTCATATGAGTAACAATTATCAGTCACACAATATGCTAAAGCGACAGAAAGAGAGAAAGAAAGAAAGAAAGAAAGAAAGAAAGAAAGAAAGAAAGAAAGAAAGAAAGAAAGGAAGAAAGGAAGAAAGAAAGAAAGAGAAGATCATGTAATTTAAACAGAACTCTTCAGACACTTTCTACAAACCTTGTGTAGTGACTTACATGCTTGCTGCAATTTATGCATTGTGGAAAAACGACCAAATAAAGCATAATGTTGGGATGAATTTTCCTTTTTTCCCCCATTAATTTTACTCAATTCTTACAGCAACAGTTTTTACTCAACAGAATTAAATCATTTGTTAGATTTCAGAAGACCACACGAATAACAAACCTACAGGATCACAATATAAGTGTAAAATTGATTATATTTTCTTATTAAACTTTAAAAGTATTGAGCTGTATAAAAACCTTGCATGGGGTCTAAGTCACATATTCTCAGTTCTAAAGCTTTTCTAGCAGAAATATTTAGACTTGGCATGATGGAGTGACTATCAGTAAGAAACAAATGCCCCATCCTAAATCAGTCCAAAGAGTGAGTATTTCAAACCACTAAAAAGAGACATATTGGCAGGAAAAAACAAATCAAAACAAATCAACACAAACCACACTGACAAACTTGATACATACAGAAGGTGATTCAGAAGTGGGTACACATTGTGATGACTGGAAAACATCTGGGTGTACTTCATTTTCGTCCACAGCTTATTCTTATCCATCACAGGAATGTTGTAGGACTGACTGTCTAAACTTTACATTTTTGATTGCAAATGTCATTTTAACCATAGCCTTGAGTAGAAAAACCTGACTGACAGCCAGCGCTTTCCACGAGAGGCTAGTTCAACATCATCATGTAAAACAGGAACCATGTTGTGGACTATGGTCCACATTTCTATGTAGGTTTTTGTAAATGATCCCATTATTTTTGCTGTAATGGAGCTCAGCCCATCTTATCCAACATTCTTTGGTGAAATTCAGACTTGTGATTCTAAAAAGACTCATAGTTAACATTATACTCTGACAAATGTGTACTGGCCTGCGGGCATTGATTTAGAGTGAAATGGATGCTGTGTTCCACCAGTCTTTTTCTGTGAAGAGATGCAAATTTGAGGAAGAACATGCTAATGCATGTAATGATGGACCGCCGTGGGTGTAGCTGGTTTGGAATAATATTTCCACAATGTAAGGGAAAGTTAGAAATACGCAGAGGGATTGTGTTGACTTTAATCAAGTTGTGTGGGTGACAATCTACTGATTTGTGTTGTTTTTACAAAGAGCTTTTTTTGGATCGAATTAAATAAAGTACATACTTGTAAATTAGATCACTTATCATTGTACTTCATTCTGTCTACACTACAGAGTTTAAAATAATCAAATACTAATTCTGCTGAGCCATCAACAAGTCCTCTAGTACAGATTATCACATATGTGATGTGTTCACAATATAAATACGACCCAGAGCAGTGTCCTGTAAATGACCAGCTCTGGAGATGGATAAAAGTAAATGTGACTTATCATTATTATTTTTTTTAAATCAAAGCACCAAAATTATTAAGTGTATCTTTGACAAAGCCGCGAAATCCTCATGAGAGGGTCAAAATGGAGGCTAGATGGAATTTCAATCATGTGGTTCAATCATGGTTTCACCTCTGTCAGTCAGTAACAAAACTCAGAGCATGTTACTAACTTCACGGTTCATTTGAGGAACAGCAGTCACTGATTACAGTTTGAAAAAAAAAATATCACGATTGAGAAAATGGATCCTCTCTACCATGTCACCATCACCTTGATGGAAGTTTCTGACAGCTCACATGAAGCTTCTCCAAAAATCACAGCAGGTTGCACAGTTTTCCAATGTCGTTGTGGCCCTTTTAGGCCTGAATGAACACTCTGAACTCTGTATCTACTGTAGGATGTCTGCATACTGGAGTGTTTTCAGTGAACCCAACATTGTCAAGTCTGTGTGAAGTGAAATATACTTTAAAAAAAGAAAATGTTTTGAAGCAGATCCAAAATGTCCTCAGAACTGAAGCCCAGTGTTTATTGCAAATGCCACAATTTTCTCCCTTGCAAAAAAAAAAAAGGTTTTGGATCACACTGCAGTGTTGGCTCTTTTTTATTCAAGGTTTCGTTATTTTCAAATCTTACAAAAGTTACACATGATTGATCTAATCCAATCACAGGATGTTTCCAGTGACAAAAGACTGCTTGTTGCTGTTGTATTGTTGTTCGTACTACACAACTGTACAAGCCGAACCTGCTTTGTTTTAAAGAGTGACAAAAACAGGAAGGAAAGTTTTTGCACTTTCTGTTTTCAATAAAAAGACTGGGGATTGACTCCTACCTGGAGCTATGCCTCTGTTTCATCCATCCTTACTGTTTCAAGCACTTTCTGTATGTACTAAAATCAACCACTGCAACCAGCTTTGGCTTCTGTTCATCCACTCAATACCACAGCATAAACACCACGGATTGAAGGCTACAGATAGGACGGAGGGAGGGAGAAAGCTTGGATGGAAGAAGAAAAAGAAGGACAGAGGAATTGAGAGTGATGAATGCTGACTGTAACATTGTGTAACTGACAGATTATTCATTGTGCTATTAGTTTTCAGCGGCAGCTTGCTGTTGCCAATCTACACAAAAAAGGCATACCAACAATGGCACTTGGGTTTAGAGTTTTCAGTAAGGCACTACTGAGGATTATGGTTTTCAGAGTGGAGTTTTACGTTCTTTGTCGACCTCTAACCACTGTATATTCGAATCAGCAAGAAAAATGTAAAGGTCACTCAGTTGCAAAATTATGGTTAATAATAACATTTTGGGATTCTAAGTGGTGTAAGCAATTAGTTTGACTGCAACATGTCTTGTAACACACACAAATAGAAAGCCTTTTTGCTTTCAATCTGCTGTGATCACTCTTCCTTTTGACATTCGGCTCTTTGTCTTTGCTTCCTTTGTCATCTACTCTCCTTCACTTTTCCCTTTAGGAGCAGGGCAGATTGCTTAAATGAGTGTAAGAGAGTGAAGGAGCAGCTCTCCATCAACTAGAATCCATTAACCTTGCCTTCATCCGCCAAACACTCCACCCTGAAACATCTGACTCCCTTGAGAGTAACCCACTTTCAGGTCCTCTGGAACCACAGCCTGAGCAGATAAAAAGGTTTCGGCCACGGCTGAATGAGCCCAGTTCCAGCCTGGCCTGCCAGCTTCCAACTCTGTGGCTGCACCGCCTCCCAGCCCAACGCAGAGGGTAAAACAGAGGGATGCACTGGAGACGAAAAAGTTAACTGAATGAACAAAAAAATCAAAATGTATCATTGACAATGAAAAAGGCTGATCAAAACTTCATTTAAAAATCTATTTATCTATCTATCTATCTATCTATCTATCTATCTATCTATCTATCTATCTATCTATCTATCTATCTATCTATCTATCTATCTATCTATCTATATGTTCTGATTGGATTGTGTGTTTTGCTGAGGTCTTTGAGGGTGATGCAAGTCTTGTTTTAGGGTGGATTTCCCCTGGAAACACATCAGCGTGCAGCCAAAACAAACTCCTGCTGATGGTTTGCCTCTTGCCTCCGGTCTCTCTGGCCTGCTTTTAGACAGCAGCCGAGGGACTCGCACCGCTCAGAGGGAGGAGCGAGGAAGTCCTTCAGCCCTCCCCCTGGCAATAAGACCAGAGACGGACTGAAACACTCAGACTGCAGACACACGTGGAGCAAAAAGCCAGAGAAAAAGAAGGACCAGAGGGGAGACCAATAGAAGGCAAGGGAGCATGAAGCTGCCGGCAAACAACAGCTTTTACTAGTTGGGCTTCTGGGACTTAAACATACGGAAACAGAGGACAGAAAAAGAAGTTTGAAGGAGCAAAACAAGAATTAGACTTCATCGTTAAAAGTCTAGCTGTATTCCAGAGGAATAACAGAAGGAGAAGCAGACGTCTGGGATGTGAAGCTCTTTCTTACATCTTTTTAGGAATAGAAATTAGGAGAGAGTAACCAGGACCTGGAAGCAGCACCAGATCTGGGGTCAAGCTGCTTTGACCTCAACTTGCTGATGATTTACTGTCAGTATAGGGAGATTATAAACCCAGCCTAATTTAGACTCAGACTAAAAGCAAAGCCTTTGATTCTCCCGGCAAAACTCACTCTCAGCTGGCAACATTAACTCCTTCTGCTCAGCACCTCCACAGCTTGGCCTGAGGACGCCCCCCGAAAGGACAAAAACAGTAGCTCCCGCTCTGAAGATGACATTTGCCATGCTGCGCACGGCTCCTCCCGCAGGCCGCTTCCTGTACGGCGACATCGCTCTCCTGTCGGAGGACGAGGACGAGAACGGCAGCGAGGGCTCCGGCTCCGAGGAGCGGAGCACCGGCTCCTCCAACGCTTTCCGCCTGTCTTCGTCCTCGCCATCTGCCTTTCACATCAAAGTGAACAGGAAGAGGAAGATGTGCGGAGGGGGCGGAGGGGGCGGAGGGGGCGGAGGGGGCGGAGGCATGGGGGGCATGGCAGCCAGACTGGGCCCCCCAGGTTCATCGCCCCCCGTGGAAATTCGTCAGAGGACCGCGGCCAACGCTCGGGAGAGGGACCGCACCAATTCTGTCAACACGGCGTTCACGGCGCTGCGCACACTCATCCCCACCGAGCCGGCCGACAGGTACACAGCCACACATTCTGTTTCCCCTCGGACCCTCTGATTAAGGTCCAGTACACAATATGTGGTTTTAATGTAGAACTACTATTTCACATCCTCCACAAGTTGTGCCAATAGGTCACATCTTAAGCACCTCCTCCTCTACGTTCAGTCCATGTGCTGCACCTCACCACAAAAACAGAAAAAATCAAAAGCGGTTTGTGACTTGACGTCAGACCAAGCTGAAGTTTTTCTTGCACCCACTGTTTGCTATGATCACAGGAAGTTGTCGAAGATTGAGACGCTACGCCTGGCCAGCAGCTACATTAGCCACCTGGGGAACGTGCTGCTTCTGGGCGAAGGGCTCCACGACGGACAGCCGTGCCACGCTCCCTCACCGCCCTTCTTCCACGTCAGCTCCTCCCCCGGCCGGGGATCCGACCAATCGGCCCAGCCCAAGCACATCTGTACCTTCTGCCTCAGCAACCAGAGAAAAATGGTGAGCAAAAAAGGCTCCGAGAGAAGTCGGTTGAAGAAGGTCAGGCCAAAAATAGTGTTTATAAGGCACACTCTCATAAAACAGAAGAGTTCCTGCCTTCCCCTAAACCTGAACAACAGAAAATGTGATAATGATAATCAGCAAACCTTCCGTCTCCATTGATTTTAACATCACATTAATGCATTTTTACAGAATTGTGAAAGAGAAAATTAGACAGAATTAGCAGGACGACGAGCTGATCGTCCACACCGGGTGGTGGCATGGGTCAGTTTCATGTTAAAAGCTGACCTGAGATCAGTAAACCTGACTGGCCCTAAGGGACTGTAAAAGCTCAACCTCTTTTAGGCACCACTTTTGGGGTGAAGGACTGTGTATTATTGTACTGTTGGGGGTTGGTTTTACTCGAGCAGCTGGCTTGAAAGTTCATGGTGGTTTCTAAAAACGCCCGTAAATTACACTCCATTGACGTGATTGTTTTTCTGTCAGAGGAGCTCAAAGAGAGTAGAGCAGAGACTTTGGTCTAATTCTTTTTTTTTTTCCATTTTTTCCCCCTCAAAGTGCAGGCTAGATGCACATGACAAATATGAATTTAAAGTTTACAAGGGTATTTATACACAGAGAGATTTATGACCGGGAGCGCATAAATCCATCCAAAACCATGTGTATAATTTCAAGAATGCGTTGACGTCAGCCTGAATAAGACAAGGTTTTAATCAAAACTTCTGAAGAACTGACCTTTGATGCACCTACGGCCCACTGGCAACGGCTTTTTTTTTTTACAGGAGCCGAACATCCCAATACTTACTGTGGGTAACAAATGTAACAGACGAGGGAGGGCTTTATACGGCAGCTCATTTGAATACTTTTCTGTGATGATGACGTCCCAGTCAAACCCCTTTTTGCGTGCTTGATCTACACACTACCACAGAGGCAGAAATGGGGAGCTTAGCTCGGTGAGCCCCTGCCCATATTTGATTGATTCAGCACAGGAAATTGACATAATCAAGACCACTCTCACATGAGAAAGTCATCGGTTTGATGAGAAATAACAGGGAATGAAGAATTGCCATCAGCTGAGTGAAATCAAATATTTATGAGCCCGGCTCACATTTTGACAAACACCACGGAGGATGATAGAGAGCTGACGTCCACTCAGCTCTCCCTCTATAACCGTAGCTGCTGCCCATTTAGCAGGATTTATGGGTAAAGAGCTGACATCTGGCAGACTCCCCCGTTACCCCAGCAGTGTGTGAAAGCTAATACCCTCCTCAGTGTCCAAACCCAGAGACCCTTTAGCTGAAGGATAACCTGAGTCTCAGCCGTGTGAGTCTCCCCTCTTGTCTTCCCCCTCTGGCTCCCCTCTGAACTTCCACAGTGAAAGGCTAGACGTCCTCAGTATCTGAGCCCAGACGCCTTCAGTGGGGAGACAAGTGGCCCGAAACCTGTCTCATTCTCTCTCATCCGTCTCATTTTCTTTTAGCTCCCTGTCTGTCCTTCCCGACGCTCCCAATTTTTATCCGCTCCCCCCTAATTCTGTTCTCACCCACGTCTCCTTCTGTTTTACCTTTTACCTCTTTAACTCTCGACCCCCACCACCTCGGAGCGTATCGATCAGACCGGTGGAGGTCAGAGCTGTCACTTGGAGCTGTGTAATACTATCTGCTGCTGTCAACCCGGCACTGCAGATGCATGACCGACCTGTAAATGCATGCTGCGTTGAAATTTTAAAAAAAAAACGTTCTCATGTCGGACCGCTCAGACACAGAAGCTTTTCTGAAGTCTGTGTTACAGCAGTCAGGCACACTCACTGTCTGCTGTTTGCTTGGTGAAAAGCCTCCCTGTTCTCTCCTGTAAGATATAGATATTGTATTACGGTCAGTTTACTCCTTTGATGAGGTGAACCCACCTGAGTACTTTAAGCGTAGAAATGTGGGAAATAACAGTCAATTTACCGCCTAAAAGTCATTGTGTCTTGATTACTGCTTGATTTCGTTAAAGTATTTGGTACAAAGAATAATAAGAAATAGCAAAGGTGGGAAAATATGTATATATATTTTTTTTGACAAAGGAGCAAAAGTTTATAAATAAAGATAATGATAGAAGTGCACATTTTTTGCTAATATAAAAGATCATACATAAGACAGATAGGAAATGTATCATCTTTGCTTACAGTTCACTTTAAGTTATTAATAATAATCTTCTTTGAGTCAGGTATAAACGATGAGGTGTTAATCCACAACCATATTAGTACAAAAATAGCCAAACCAACCATGTAATGATAATATGATATTTTTCTGTATTCTGCATACAGCAACAAAGTCCTTGTGGTTCTCAAGTACAATATTTTCCAATTGAGTTAGAATTTCTCCAACTTTCTGAAACAGTCAGGCTCTGTCTTTTTTAACAATCATGACCAAAAATGTATTTGAGATGATGATGGATGCAGATTATGATTGATGCTTACCGCAACGAGGGAACATGCAACGCTACCTCTCTGGCAGGAAGGGATAACATATACCAGGCAGTGGACATGAGCACCGCGCTCATTAGCTGCTCCAGTGGTGGTCATTTCATGCAATTTATTGCTAATGAGAAGAACATAGGATATCTCAAAAACATGCCTTTTTCTACCTCTACCGTAAATGATATCCAGGGACACAGAGAAGCTGACTTTAGAAAAATAAGTGAACGTGGACAGTGAATGTTGTGGTTGGGTTGATAAAAACTCATTCTGGAGTTGTGTACATGGGGAATGTTTGGGATGAATTGGGGTTGCCTGTTCACCTGGCATGTAAATGGTTAATTAAGACCGGCTGAACCTGAGAGGATTTTATTTTCCTTGAAAAATACACATCATGTGTTCAAGTGGGTTAAAGGGCAGAGTCGGTGCTGGTGATTACAGAAAGGAAACGATTGTGGAGGTGAATTGAGAGTTTTTCTTCGGAGCTCTCTTTTTGTATGTTTTCACGGCCACTGAGGTTCATCACAGCTGTCAGCCCAGCTTAGACCGGCCGCTTCAGTTACACTTATTTCCAACGCAGGAGAGGGTGAAAGTGAGAAAACTATATGGTCATTTCCTCTTATTATGTGTGACTAGAGTATAACTGTTTCAAAACAAACAGTCTTGTTACTAATGACGACTGCACACTCTGCTAACTGTCGTATGTTACACAGTCTGGCGAGAAATGATATGAGTACAAATGTGATTTGATTAACCAAGGGACTTTATTTAAGTGATTTAAAACAAGTCTATTACTGGTCATGTGACTTTCCATTTTTCATCCTTAAGCATGAATAAGGGGTTTATTTAGAAATGTTTCTTTAATTCAAATATCAGAAAAAACAACAACAAAAAAAGGTGCTGTTGCCACACTGTGAACCTCATGCATCTTATTATTATGTCAACTTTTTTCTGACATCTCCCCGGTTCTGTGACGACATCGTGTAGCTGGTCTAAATTTCTTTAGATGAAAAAATAATTTACGAAGCATACGGGTCAGTCAGAATAGATTTGGAGGTAAAAAGAAGCCGCACTGATGGGATCCCACAAAACACAGAAAGAGAGAAAGACTGCAGTTGAGCACTTCTGTTTTTGCTTTGATTCAGACAGCTTGGCATGGGAGCAGCGCTGCATTTGATAGCTGCAGCCAGAAAAAAAAAAGAAAGAAGAAGAAGGCGGGCACTGGTGATGGCTACATCTGTAAAAGAGTTGTAGGGCTGAGGATGGAGGGTTGAGGTGAGCTGAGCGCTCTTTAAATCCCCGGGCTGTCTGCTTGATTGATGCAGATATCCTGTGTAGGGCTGCTCTCCCTCCGCTGTCAGGGCATCTGTCAGGTGCCTGGACTCGCCATACAACAGGGAAACCTTGCTGCTGCTCCTTTTTCTTTAATAACTACGACTTTTTAATCTTCAATCAAATGTCACTTTGGGTTAACTTCAATTTGGCCACTCCAATTGTTTCAGCGTGGTGTAGGTAGCTCAAAGCTACCAGCGCAGAGCTGCAGGTTAATGTTAAGGCTGGTGTCTGTTCATCTCGCTAAGCGGCCCACTTCTGTCCTTAAGCCACCATATTTTTACAGCCTTTTCTACAACAGTGGCTTTTTTCTTTATTTTCTAATGACTGAAACTGGTAAACCATCTGCCAGTAGCAACGACCGTGCAGGGCTTTTTCCTTTTATCTGGACAGAACAAGCCCATGCCGTTTTGCTTAATCTGAACATTAAAAAGAGCTCTTTTGTTGAAATTAAAAAAGAGAGATTTTATGTTTGGAAACTAAATTTGAAAAAGACAAAAATATAACGACCGTGCTACTTATGATGTGGTCGTCGTAAATAGACACGTGTTGCTTTTGAAATGGTGACTTTTACAGTCGTCCTTTGGCCACAGCCCCAGTTTAATTCTGTCTTGATGGGGTTATTTATTTGGAATTTCAGGAAATTAAAAAAAGAGAAGCATAAATTTAACGAAATGGCAAACGTAAAATGATATTTACTGCTCCTAATATTACGAGCAGTTCTAATTTGTGTATTGGCTGCTGTAAAACTTTTATATGCCGTGATTATTGTGGGTGGATGGAAAGAAAAGTGGTCCAAATCTGCACCGTGCAACTGGAAACTGAACCAATCTCCACTTGTCTGTTCAATCACATTTGTTTAAGAGCGATGTGAAAGTGCATGCATATTTGTGTCTTTGAGGAAAAAAAATAACTTAAAGAGCTGTTATTTCTTATATGAGATTGATATTAGCAGCATATTCAGTGAATTTGTGCTCACATACATTAAAACCATGAAACACACACTCACTGATTGACTCTCTGTGTCTGGAAGTCATTGGCAGAGCAGCACAAAGCAACAAATGAGCTAATTGTTCTGTAAATGATTTATCCTCTGCAGAGGCTGTGCGGCCAGTGTTTAATTCAGCGGCTGCTATTAGAAACACATTGACGTTGAACTTTGATGGTGATGTTAAAGGAGCCTGGAAACCACTCTCTGTGAAACGCCCTCCCTGCTTACACTCACGCCCACACAAGTGACACATGCACACATGTGGGCACTGACTTGTGTACAGTTCACCACACTCAGACACACGGATCAAAAGCACTTCATTTTACCTCCTCATTTTAACCTTTTTGCTATTACATTTTTTTATGTGTCCTTTTAATC